TGGTCCTCTCTACATCCATGCTGCCCAAAGCGCTCATCATCTTCTGGCGGGGCTCCAGGGAGATTGGCTTTGTTTCATGCCTTGTTCAGTTGTTCTTTGTCCACAACTTCACAGCAGTGGAGTCGGGTGTGCTCATGGCCATGGCCTTGGATCGCTATTTTGCCATTTGCCATCCCCTGCGGCACTCCAGCATCCTCTCCATGCCGGTGGTGGCAGCTCTTGGGAGCCTGGTGCTGCTGCGTGGAGTCCTCATGGTGGGTCCTACCTGCTTCCTGCTCCGTAGGAAGGCCTTCTGCCAGCATCGTGTCATCTCCCATTCCTACTGTGAACACATGGCCGTGGTGAAGCTGGTATGTGAGGACACCAGAGTCAATGCTGCCTATGGCCTCTGTGTGGCCTTGTCAGTAATAGGAGTTGACCTTACAGTGATCGTCGTGTCCTACACTATGATCCTGCGGGTGGTACTGAAGCTGTCATCCTCAGACACTCAGCTCAAGGCCTTTAACACATGTGTATCACATGTCTGTGTCCTCCTTACATTTTATGTCTCTGGACTCTTCACATTCCTTGCCCACCGGTTTGGACACAGCATCCCTCAGCACATCCATATATTGGTGGCCAACCTCTATATGCTGGTGCCCCCCACATTAAACCCCATCATCTATGGGCTGAGAACCAAGAAACTCAGGAACAAGGTAGTTGTCCTCTTCCATCAAAGGGGAATCTGACCTGTGCCTGTGTGTCACAAATGGTTCTCCTTTTCTACTGATGACTTCCATATATTTGAGCAGTTAATTGCTGAGACTCTTTGTTCCTGGAAATACAGTTCCTAAGTTCATGGAGTACATGGTGAGCATTCTTGGTAGATTTTCTTTTGCTTGTAATTAAAGATTTCCTGTGTAATTAAAGATGGCAGAAAGACTTTCAGTCTGCCTCTTACACTGTTGGGAAGCGAAGGGGTTACATCTCCCTGAACTTAAAATCCTCTATGACAAAATACTTTCACGATTAAGCGAATAAATATTCCCAGAGGGTTGTTGTTGCCTATCGTAGGCGTGGCGACCTGGTTCGGGAACGGCACAGCGACCAATCCCAGGTCGCTCGGTCCATCGGCTCACTGACACCAATGTGGTGGACGGCAAATGGCGTTTATTGGCAGGAAAAACAGCCTTATATAACCTGGGCACTGAACGCTATTGGCTATTGGGAGGGGGACCCTGTCTTCCCGTACAACGCGATATCTTCCGGGCGCCAGACCCTCACTACCACATATCCCTCCTCCCTATGCACAATTAAATTAGGTAAAATATAACAATATATAACAATCTCCAATAGAAAACTCGAATAGAAAACATAAGGTGCTCTGAAAAAGAACATTCTTATAACAGTTGTTGGTGCTCTACCAACATGATGTTAATCGGAAGAAAAAAGGGGATGGGCTGTGGCCTCAGGTGCACTCCCCAGGGATGCACCAGGTGAGCTGGATGTCCTCGAAGAACCTCACCAGGTAGGCCTCGCTCGCCTACAGCTGGGCTCTGGAAGCGCAGGTCGGTCTTGAAGTCCTGCGTGATCTCGCACACCAGGCGCTGGAAGGGCAGCTTGTGGATCAGCAGCTCCATGGACTTCCAGTAGTGGTGGATCTTGCGCAGCACCACCGTGCTGGGCTGGTCACACCGCCTGTGGCCAGCGCGCTCTTGTGGGCCGCCTTGGTGGCAACCGGGCCTTTCGCTTCCGCAGGCAGGGTCGAGGAGTCGACTGCTGCCTGGAGGCAATTTACAAATTGTGTAAAGCTCTCACTTCCATTTTGTCTTATGGTGGACCATGGCAATGGCTTAACAATAACTTTAGAGGCTGTGCAAATAGCATCCCTAACCGCACAAGTAGTTGTCATAACTTCATGGGCCTGGAGG